GAAGATGAGAGGCCACATGTGACACCAAACAGACTGACCAATATCCTTACTCTCTCCTGCTGATCATCTAATCAATGAATGGATTGATCAGCTGTGTACCTGCCGACAGGAGGCGTCCATCGGCGTCCGCCATTGGACAGAAACACTCACTGAAGACCGAGTTAGACGAGTTAGAGAGAGAGCCGGACGCCGCGTCACTCAACTCATAGAAACCTGAGAGAGAGATGGGGACAGGTGAGGAGAGAGAGACAGGTAAGGGGAGACAGACAGGCAGAGGGAAGAAAGTGATTAAGAGTCGGGACTGTCTACATGGCGACCGCCAGAGCTGACCACACTGCACAAACCTGTCGGGGACGTCACTGAGACTACTGTGGTCTGAAGATCATAAAATCTACTCTAGTCTATTTGGAGACTGTAAACCCAGAAATGTTGAGTTTTAAGTTTTCAGTCAGAAATGTTCAGTCTGGGTCTCCAGCTGTTACACTGACTGATGCTAACCTGCCCAATTACCATAATTATCATTATTAATCAGCTATATGGACAATATCTCAGCAGCTGATTGGCTGATTCGCATGATATAGGAGGGGGTTTGGGGGTTATTGACAATGCTGAATCCATTTCTGACATTTTCAAAATTTTAAATATACATTTCTAACATAAAACTTTGGTACTCAACAAGACTACTCTGCTGTTTTCCATTTTCATAAAATGTACTGAATTATCCGTCTATATGCAGATGATACAGTTTTCTATACAGTCGCCTTTAAATCAAACCAGTTAAGATTTTATCCATAAAATGAACCTTTAATTAAAAACTTGATCCTGATTCTGTACAATCTGTAGATAACTGAAACTCTCTCTCCTCCATTCTCACGCTGACCATATTTTTATTTTACTTTGCAGGAAGAACTTATTTGTTCATTATGTTCAGGTACCTGAACTGGGTCGGCTGTCAGTCTCCAGCTGGTCGTGTGACGCCTCAGTGTCCAATCGCAGGTCACTAATCTGTCGGTCCAGCTCCTGTAGCTGACTGATGAGACCGGCGTCCCTCCTCCTCAGACAGTTCTGATGGAAACACAGTCACACATTGTGATATTATATTTCAGATCTCCAAACAAACATCCCACAGATCCCAGAGGAGGACCAGATGAAGTTTTAACGGTCACACTGAGAGAACCCAGGCAGAGAAACCAGAACAAACAGAGAGGGAACAACAAAGCCAGTGTTTGACACTGAATGTGATTTAAAACCAATAAAAAACAGAGTGAATATGGAACAACTGAAAGCTGTGAACAGACCTCAGATCTGCTCACAGTTAGAATAACTGCAGAAAACATTCTGCATCAACAGTTTGTCCTGGAACTAAAGCGGTTCACACAAATATTTATATCTGTTATATTATATCTGTATATTTTATTTATATGTATATATTATATTTATTTCTGTATTCAAGTACTTTAGGACACTAAAGCTTCTCTGGGGTTCTCAAGACCTTGATTTTAAAGGGGTTTAAAAAAACTTTACAAATATACACAGTAAACCTTTATTTCAGTGTTTGGCTCAAGTCTGTGAACAGAACTAAAGTAAACAGCGTAAATTATTATCTTTATTATTGATCAATGTTTTGCCTTTTTGTAACAAGAACATTTTCGGTCCAGCTCAACGCACCAACCTCAGATCAAACTGTAAACATGCATGATCAGTATGGATCCAGATTCCATGTTGTTACTATTTCTCCCCCTCAAATCTGTGTCACAAACACATTTATATTATTGTCTTAGCCGGATTACAGAACCTGTGTGAGCGAAGACGCCATTGTTTCCCAAACCCAAGAGAGCAGAGCAACTCGCAGTATCAAAGCTCCACAGACCGATAGAGGTCCGTAAAGTCCCAGCAGGTTCACGCCCAGAACCGTCCTGAACACAAGATAATAAAACCCAGACAGACACACACTGCTGTCATTGTTAGAGGAGGACCAGTCAGTGTGCCTTTAAATACTCTCTCTCTCACTCTCTCTCTCTCTCTCTCTCACACACACTTATACACTCACACACACTGTGTTGAGATGGAAAACATGCGGGTTATGCGGCGCTGCTCTCAGGTCATGTGCTGCATTCCTGTGACTGAGCTGCAGAGAAACAAACTGCTGATCTCTGATCTGATAACAGCTGATCACTGATCAGTTACAGAACCACAAACTCACAGCTGAGACCACAGACCCTGACCCACAGCTCCCAGTAAACCCTAACCCACAGCTCCCAGTAAACCCTGACCACACCCACAGTCTGTCCAACCCCACAGTCTGTCCAACCACCTCTGTACTTCACTTTACTCCATTAACTCTCTTTTTCTCTGTCTCTGTCTGTCTGTCTGTCTGTCTGTCTTACTGTCTGTCTTACTGTCTGCAGCAGCTGTCTTTGGAATGAGCTGCATGTTCAAACACAAACCAACGCTCCTCCAGCTGTTTCTCCTGTCAATCAACCAGCACCCAGGGGGAAGTGATGTCATTCACATACTTCCTGTCTTAGAATACATACGTTAATATCATGGGCATCGTTAGCTGAGGAAGCTAAAACTACAAATCCACATATACACTCAGATAATACTTTGCTCTGCCCACAAAATACATCACACTGTTTACAAAGACAATAACGTTTATTCTGAAACCACAGACACTCTGTAAGTGTTCATGTTGGTTTTATAAACATACACATTACTGTTACTGGAACCATCACACCCACAAAGATCCAGTAAAATGGACTCCCAGATTCAGCCTGCCCCCCCACTCTCGACTACCACCACTCTTCAAAATAAAAGTCTTCCCATATTCAGCATTTCACAATAACATACAAACGAACAGCACACATCATTCAGCTGGGGGCAGAGAGACAGACCAGAGTTCTAACTGTGACTGATAAACAAGTCCAGCACAGACCAGGACCAGGAGCAGAGTTCCACAGTCTCCAGAGTTTCTTGTTCAGTCTGTTTGTGTCTCAGCTGCTTTGTCACAGAGCTGAAAGTCGATCTGCAGAGTTTCCAGCCGCTCGCAGGAATCTCCATTTGTTCCTGCTTGGGGGGGGGCACTAATCTGATCCAGATTCAAGTTAAGATCTGCAGCTGCAGGACAGACCGCGTCCAAAAACACAACACAGAATCTAGACC